GACCTGAGCAAGACAGGTATATGACCTGAGCAAGACAGGTATATGACCTGAGCAAGATAGGTATATGACCTGAGCAAAACAGGTATATGACCTGAGCAAGACAGGTATGTGACCTGAGCAAGACAGGTTACATGACCTCCGAGCCTCACCTCACGGTGCTCGTTTGTCTTATGATGCCGTGAAAAAAAATCTACCAGTCTTTATTTCCACCCTATATTCATGGCCACTTGTATTTCTACGTGTTAGAGCTTAGGAAATCTGAAAAAAATAATTGCGCAGTTAACAGATAATAAAACACTATTTCCACTGTACGGATCATTAATATTTCTGTAGGTGCATAAACTTCAACACGAATCTAGTGATAGTTTATCTTATTCGCTAACCTCATCTATTTTTCCGATATATATTGCACACTATGACCTTTCTCAAACAATTTGGCTGTCTAAAAATAATTCACAATTCATCCTTCGGGGATTTTAGTGCAGAAATGCTCAACTTCGCTATTTTTTTTTTTTAGCAATTAGAACGTTTAATTAATAATTGTGTTGGTTTGCGAGGTCATTGTAGAACATCTAATTACTAATTTCCGAGTACACACATATTCTTTTATAATTTCATGCAATATAGTTCATTAAGCTGCATCTCGTGTGATCATGGAATGCATCTGTAAAGGAAATCACTGAACGGGTGGAGTTAGAACCCATGGCAAGTGAGTGGCAAAACTCCAGGCCAGTGCGTAAGACGCTGGGCCAGCTGGCTACAATAAGATTCGTCCAATTAGGTGTATTTATACACCATGCATTTGTGGTCACAGTAGTGGCCCGTGCTAACCACCCTATAGTGTATAAATATACCTAGTTGGATGAGTCTTATTGTGGCCAGCTGGCCAAGTGGCTTACGCACTGGTCTGGAATTTTACCACTCACTTGCCATGGGTTCCAACCCCCATCCGTCCAGTAGTTTGTTTGCAGTCGTGCTATTACGATTTCGTGAGTCAATCTGTAAAGGTTTTATAAAAACAATCAAGGTTTTATGCCATAATTTTTATTCATATTTCTGTACAACACTGCGCCTTACACGTGACAAACACAAGCTCTCAGCACGTCACTCCTGGGTGGACACCATCCTAGGACGGCTAGCAACCATAGTGACCTCTTCAGCTTTAACATTATAAAAATATACTTCTGCTGGGTAAGGTTCCAACCACGACATTGTTGCCTGCGTCTAATATGCAAAGGAAGTTCTAAAGAATGAGAGAGGTTGGGGTGGGGATGGTTGGTTGGTGGAGTGTCGTGGTTAGAAGGTTAACCAACAGTAGTGTTATTGAGTACTGCCTGATACACTGTTTTAAAGAACTAAGCACATTTGAGGAGTGAACACAGTCTTGGACGATGAGGTTCTGGACACCACTGGGTCCTGAGACAGGCAGTCTCTCGGGGACACCAGTCATGTTTACAATTCAGAAGTTGACCGTCCGGGATCCTCAAACATGAACACACTCGCTAATTCTCTTAGGGAAATAAGCTAGAGTCAGTTTTGACGGACATATATTTACTGATCATATCAGATATAATTACAAAAATATGACACTCATAATATTACATAATTCTACACATATTAGGGAATGTTTAGCAGCAGTATGAGATCCTCTTTAATATCAATTGGGAAGACGTTCATATACAAGACTGAACACTGGAATGGAGTATATGAAAGTACTGACCCTCCTTACAACAATTTTGTCTTCTAATAACTGATAATCTCCTCCCCTTTTATTCGTTATCATAGTGATTGCTTTTATCATATTTCCGCCCACAAGCGGACACAACTGACCTGACAAGGGGCAACATGGACTGATCTCATGCAAGAAAATAAATTAAGTCCTAAACTATTTGTTACCGAATCCTCCACAACGGCAAGGTGCGACTCAACACCTGGCTGAGAGGAAGGTTTGTTACCAGTGCTAAGCTTCTGCCCACTGCGGGCAGGCGCAGGCAGGCATAGGCAGGCTGCTTGCAGGCTGTGATTATAGCAGGCTGGCTGAGATTCATTTATGGCGGAAATTAAACTAAAACTCCTGATTTTACACCATAGCGTGTTCGGTATACTGCACTATTTGTTCAATTGTATATCATTTCTTCGAGATCTGCTGAGCGTTTATTTACGAGTGATGACACATCGGATGTGATCCTCTTAGAAAACGTTATTTTTGAATTTAATTGAAATTTTTCATATTTCTGCTAATGCCAGATGGTGAAGAGTGTGTGTATAACAAGTGAAACTTTATTAATTAAGTGTGCCAATTTTATAAACAATAGACTTTATTAATTACTTTGTACCATAGTTTATAAACAATGACTTTATAATTACTTTTGACCTAGTTATAAACAAGTGTCTTTATTAATTAACCTGTACCATAGTTTATAAACAAGTGCTTTTGCTAATTACTTTGTGACCATTCTGTACCTGAGATAACATGGATTTACAAGCAGCATTATATTAA